GTGAAAAACCGGGTTAGCAAGAATATCAACTCATTCTACTACTCGGCAATTTTAAAACAACAAAACTCATTCAAAGGCCGATTAAAAGCCTTTATTTGACGCCGGGCAGTAAGTTAATGGTCACTAGAAGTATTCCAACGAGTCCAAATTTAAAATGACGGAAATTTGAGAACATTTATTCAATAAACTGATTTCGCGGAGCTTCAAACCGGTGTCATTTCCGTCTAGAAATTTTTACGTTGAGTGAACTGCAGCGAAAAAGTGCCTGGTTAAGGCTTACATAACAACTTAAATAGTTAGCAAAACACTACTTTTCTCGCGGTCCGATAAACAACAGGATTCCGCACGGAATAGACAACAAACTGAATGAAACAGTGCACAAATTATTGGGTGTCTAGAAAACGACGACCTGGAAAACGAAGACCTACGACCTAGAAAACGAAGACCTACGACCTAGAAAACGATGACCTAGAAAACGACGACCTAGAAAACGATGACCTGGAGAAAGATGACCTAGAAAACGACGACCTAGAAAACGATGACCTGGAGAAAGATGACCTAGAAAACGAGCGATAACCTAGAAAACGACGACCAAGAAAACGATGACCTAGAAAACGATGACCTGGAGAAAGATGACCTAGAAAACGATCGATGACCTAAAAAACGATGACCTGGAGAAAGATGACCTAGAAAACGAGCGATGACCTAAAAAACGATGATCTGGAGAAAGATGACCTAGAAAACGAGCGATGACCTAAAAAACGATGACCTGGAGAAAGATGACCTAGAAAACGAGCGATAACCTAAAAAACGATGACCTGGAGAAAGATGACCTAGAAAACGAGCGATGACCTAAAAAACGATGACCTGGAGAAAGATGACCTAGAAAACGAGCGATGACCTAAAAAACGATGACCTGGAGAAAGATGACCTAGAAAACGAGCGATGACCTAAAAAACGATGACCTGGAGAAAGATGACCTAGAAAACGAGCGATGACCTAAAAAACGATGACCTGGAGAAAGATGACCTAGAAAACGAGCGATGACCTAAAAAACGATGACCTGGAGAAAGATGACCTAGAAAACGAGCGATGACCTAAAAAACGATGACCTGGAGAAAGATGACCTAGAAAACGAGCGATGACCTAAAAAACGATGACCTGGAGAAAGATGACCTAGAAAACGAGCGATGACCTAAAAAACGATGACCTGGAGAAAGATGACCTAGAAAACGAGCGATGACCTAAAAAACGATGACCTGGAGAAAGATGACCTAGAAAACGAGCGATGACCTAAAAAACGATGACCTGGAGAAAGATGACCTAGAAAACGAGCGATGACCTAAAAAACGATGACCTGGAGAAAGATGACCTAGAAAACGAGCGATGACCTAAAAAACGATGACCTGGAGAAAGATGACCTAGAAAACGAGCGATGACCTAAAAAACGATGACCTGGAGAAAGATGACCTAGAAAACGAGCGATGACCTAAAAAACGATGACCTGGAGAAAGATGACCTAGAAAACGAGCGATGACCTAAAAAACGATGACCTGGAGAAAGATGACCTAGAAAACGAGCGATGACCTAAAAAACGATGACCTGGAGAAAGATGACCTAGAAAACGAGCGATGACCTAAAAAACGATGACCTGGAGAAAGATGACCTAGAAAACGAGCGATGACCTAAAAAACGATGACCTGGAGAAAGATGACCTAGAAAACGAGCGATGACCTAAAAAACGATGACCTGGAGAAAGATGACCTAGAAAACGAGCGATGACCTAAAAAACGATGACCTGGAGAAAGATGACCTAGAAAACGAGCGATGACCTAAAAAACGATGACCTGGAGAAAGATGACCTAGAAAACGAGCGATGACCTAAAAAACGATGACCTGGAGAAAGATGACCTAGAAAACGAGCGATGACCTAAAAAACGATGACCTGGAGAAAGATGACCTAGAAAACGAGCGATGACCTAAAAAACGATGACCTGGAGAAAGATGACCTAGAAAACGAGCGATGACCTAAAAAACGATGACCTGGAGAAAGATGACCTAGAAAACGAGCGATGACCTAAAAAACGATGACCTGGAGAAAGATGACCTAGAAAACGAGCGATGACCTAAAAAACGATGACCAAGAAAACGATGACCTAGAAAACGATGACCTGGAGAAAGATGACCTAGAAAACGAGCGATGACCTAAAAAACGATGACCTGGAGAAAGATGACCTAGAAAACGAGCGATAACCTAGAAAACGATGACCAAGAAAACGATGACCTAGAAAACGATGACCTGGAGAAAGATGACCTAGAAAACGAGCGATGACCTAGAAAACGATGACCTGGAGAAAGATGACCTAGAAAACGAGCGATAACCTAAAAAACGATGACCTGGAGAAAGATGACCTAGAAAACGAGCGATGACCTAGAAAACGATGACCTGGAGAAAGATGACCTAGAAAACGAGCGATGACCTAGAAAACGATGACCTGGAGAAAGATGACCTAGAAAACGAGCGATGACCTAGAAAACGACGACCTAGAAAACGACGACCGAGAAAACGATGACCTAGAAAACCAATTTTGATGAATAATAGTCAAACAAAAAAAAGTGAAAAAAAAAAACGTTAGCAGAGGCCCTTTATAAGGGAAAAGGGAGACACTCGAAGAGAACTTTGGTTAGAGGTGAACCGCGTAAGCTTGCAGGCCCTGTCCCTGTTCGTTCATTTCGCTATTAAGCTGCAAATGTCATATTCATAGCAAAATCACGTTGGCCTTGCGATGCTCGTGTGATACACGCGCGCTTCGCGCGCGACGAGATTATAAACCTCGCGGCTCGGCGCTTCGCGAGGAACAAGATTCTTCTTGGCGGCACTTTCGTGTTTCGTGTCATGCAACGTGGGAGACAACGTCGCTTATTTAGTCGCACATAGTTACATTTTTTTTGTTCTAACTCTGTGGGATTATTTCACGCAAGGGGCCAGTCACAAAATACGGTTTACGCTCTTCATCGTTTACGTTCGGTGAGGGTAAAAGGCGGAATGAGTTTGCGGAATGGTATGTGGCATGGCTTGCGGAATGACATAATTATGCAGGATGTAAAATATGGAAAATGACGCTAAGAAATAAATTAAACTGAAAAGCATGCGCGCGTCTTTGCCGCGCCTTTTTTTGACGCCAATTTGAGTGAGCAACTGCTTTGCTGGTCCATTACTGCTGGCTCAAACCAACAAGGCAGAGCAGAAAGAAGCGATAAGATTTTCTTCATTCGTGTCTATGTAAGACTTAATTTATTTTTGGTGTTTTCGACAATACTATCTCTCTTTCTGCCCACCATTATAATACAGCCAAATGTCAAAACGCAAGAGGGAAGAGAACGCTTGTTGAACGTGAAGTCAGGCTAGCTACAATTCTAGGGATTATCTATTAATACGGTGGACGAATCAGATCATATTGGGACTAAATGAACGCCCCGAGTAAAACATTAATCTGTAATCCAGAAATCGAGTGAAGCGAACTGCTTTGTCTCCTTTCGGCCTTTCCGCGTGTCTTCGCACCCTCCTTTTTTGTGTGAGTGTGTGCATTTGATCGTCAAAAAAATGCTAAAACGTTAGGAAGGGAAAAAAAAAGACATATCCCCGCCAGCTGTTAGCCTGCGTAGCAAGCGTTTCCGCTCGGTTTAGGAGCAAAGAACGAGGAACGAGAGTCAAAGACCGCGCGAAAAATGGCTCTCATTTCATTTCTCGCGCGGCCAAAACCGGTCTTTCCTTGCTCCGAAACCAAATGGAAACGCTTGCTACGCAGGCTAGCCAGCTGTAAGCTTCGCGTCCCGGAAACTTAACCACGCAGCCAAGGAAACAAGATCCGTTTGATCTCTGAAAATTATGTCAGGATCACGTTACCCACCGTCTGAAAAAGAAACACTTCTCACGCGGTTTCAAATTCAAATATAGGGAAAAGGAAACTGTTAAGTTAATCGTGCAAACATCTTTTGCAAAAAAAAAAAGTAGAAGGGAACTTGACCTTCTAAAATATCTTTTCTTCAATGGCCGACTTTCGTGCTGTAGTATCGGTGCTGCCATGCAGCCCGACTAATAAAGGCAAGAAGAATCCTTGTGGCTGTGCGGTAAAGGCTAATCGACAATGAACCTTCGCTTCTTTTTGATTGTCATCTTACGTCGAGCCCAGCGGTTGCGTTAACAAATTGATTGGCACCAAAAAAGGGCGCTCTTTTCAGTTTACGTCATTTCTTTGGGTCATTCTGCGTATATTACATTCTGCATAATTATGTCATTCCGAAAGCCATGCCACATGCCATTCCACAAACTCATTCCGCCTTTTACCCTCACCGAAATCGGAGTGCTAGTAAGAAAAAAATTTGTTTAAAAATGTTTATTTTTTAGCTTTTTCAAAAACGTTTCTCCCCCTTATGAATGAAAATGAACAGGGGCCATCAGGGGGGGCCTAGAGAAAAATTGATAACATTTTTATTGAGAGCAAGGATGATATTTTGCTATCATTTAAACATATTTTTAACTCTTAGTCTGCTTTCTGAAATATTTGCGTAACAAAACTCCAATTTTAAAGGAGAAAATTGTCTCAAAAAATGCAAATTTTGGCCTAAACTCCCGCCAAACCCCCCCCCCCCCCCCCCCCCCCCGATTCCCAATGCAGGTTTTTGTTGAGCCAAACAACTGCCACTGTGAGTAGTTTCATCTGAAGTACTAACTACACACAAAGTATGAGGGAACGTTTTGTTTGACTATTTCCAGTTTTGCTCAATCCTTAGCGACATTTGTTCTTAATACTGACCACCAGTAAGTAATTTTTCAGTTTATAATATTTAAATGAGCGTTTATTTTGAAGCTGTAACTACTAGTTTACAACTCCAGCATCCACTGTGTTCTTAGTGAAACGGTGACAACTTTTTGACTACATATTATGCTCCTTGTAAAGCTCTTGTTCATGCTCAAGGCGGATCTTTACTCTTACTCATCAAGCTTCTGCTTCAACGATAATACAAGTACCAAAGCACAAAAAACAGCCCCATCCGCGTTTTTGACGACGAGTTTTAGTTTTCTTGACAGCGCAGCTCCCACCGTCCTTGAAATGGATCTCTAAACCCACTTTGCACTTCTTCATGTTGGATAGATTTCTGGCTTTGACCTCCGCGTTAAACTTCGTACCCAATTTAATTACATAACGACCTAAACAAAAAATAAAGTTCATCATTTTTATACTCTAATTACTCTCCCAAAGACTCAGTCCGATGTAATGATTTTACATAGAAACAACTTCATCGCCGGGCTTTTTTTTTATCTGAACCTTGGAAATGATAGTGTAAAACACTAATGTGGTTATGACGCATACAGGATGTTAGAAAAGGTTTTTGGGGAAAATTGAACTTGATATTGGCACGCACATTCTTGCTTTATGTAATGCTGTTGTACCAACTACTTCACACTGATATTTTTCCCGCGGCCGTTACCTATGCTGAACTGACCAACTTGAGGAAGATGGTTGCATCAGCATGGATCCCGGGCCCCCTTCTCTCTAGAAACGCAGGGTTGCAAAAAACTCTGCGATGTTCCGGAGATAGTCCAAAGAGCTAATGTCTTAAATAAATTAACTTTGGCATGTCATTTGTGCAAACTGCGCCTCTTTAGAATGACGCTTTCACATTTTACTGAGCATATTACAATTTATTAATGATATTTTTATACCTGTATGTCTGACTGGATTTTACAAATCATACAGCTCTGAGGAAGCTCCTGGAAGTGTGTTTCTACTCGTCCACAATATATAAACAGGCAAAAGACTATTTCTAGTCTTTTATTCCTTCGCCCTTGCTCCCTTTCCCTTCTCGTTCTTATTATCTTCGGGCTGCTCGTTGTTTCAGAGTAGTTGTAGTGAAATTGCTGTTTTTTTTTCTTGAACCATGTTTTTGGTAATATTATTTTTAATCTTTTATTTCTAAGAAACGACCACTCGAGTTGTGAAGCTTAAAACGCTTATCTTGCTTAAACAAAGTCGTTGTATCGTATCGTATTCATGAGCTCAATTGCACTGTATTATATTGTGAGCGCGAACTCAATCAGCTGAGTGCGACCTTTTTTCTTTTTTGTATTTTTTGAAAGCTGACAGAGTAAGAAGCGAATGAGAATATTTTTCAAGGAAGAACTCGGTGTCTACCTGGCATCAAAGTCTCGAGCTCTTGGGTAATCTCCTGCAGCCGCGAGCAGTTCACGATCTTGTAGTAGAGGTACTCTTTTTGGTAGTCTGATTTGTCACTTCCTTGACCTTTCACTAGCTTCGTGGTGAGCTCTTTCTTGTAACCATTCTTCTCAAGGTCTGCTTTCTTTAACATGGCCTTCAGTTGTTCGTCCGAGGGTCGATCGTCCGGACTGAACACCTTCAATGTCAGGGTTTCTTGTGATGTGGCATCTGCAAAAAAAGAAAAACAAGCGAAATTGTGATTGTGTCCATTTTGGTATAATAATCGCCCACTACTGGAAACTTTGTTCACGGGTTAGTAAAATCACTCTAATATCGGCACTGAGAGTATACGGCAGGTTCGATATAAAGCGTTTCATGTCTAAAATGTAGGTGCTATCAAAGCCAAAACAATGAAAATAAACAGTGGTTAGATATTAAAGAGCTATCAAAAGGATCGCTGAACCGAATCTGACTTACCGACAATCGTCGAAAAAAGCCAGAACAAACCCAAAAGACTGAGGTGAACTTTAAGCATCGTCATCATCACTCGAGGTAATCTTGAATCAACGGTGAAAACTAGGCAAATTAAGGTGACTGCCTCCAAACCAAAAATAATTGGTAAAACCAAGAGCTGAAATGATGCTAATTTATACCCGTGAAAGACGTCTGGGGGCTACTGCTAAACACGAAAAACTTCCCGAAACCCTATGACGTATTCCAAAAGTCAAAGACGGGGCTAATTTCTACCTGCTGTTTCTTTTGTTATTTAACCTTAACTCACTTTTAATAATATTAATAAAAATAATGAGAGATTGATAAATCGTTAAGACTAGCCTGTAACACTGAGTCACAATTAAGCTTGAAGACTAGACTTCAAAACAGTCGGGTTTTTTTCTCAAAACCGGTTTAGTATTCTTGCGTACTTGAATACGGAAAAATATGGACTGTTTTGCAGTACATGTACTGTAAGACTGATGTTGGCGATAGCGACGCCGGGTCAATAGCCGTTGTTGAATCAAAGTTTGTCCGCCATGCAAGGCGAGGACAAGTGTTTCATAGCAGTTACAAGGTCCCTCGAATGAAACGTCAAGACATTTGTAACACTAATATTGGCATTGACGCACAATGATTCGCCGTTTCTTTGGCGAATTGATTCTAATTCTCCTTACTGATTGCAGACATTAAACAAATGTGAGTTATGAGAAATTGGTGGTACATCAATTTGTCCCAAAATATCGCTTTCAGACCGAACAAAGGAAAAAGGGCGACAAATTTTCTCAGTTGAAAGTTTTATTTCATCGAAGAAACCGTCCTTTCAAGCAAATTTGGTTAGCTCGTGGCGAATTCCTCGCCCAATTGCTTGACCGAATGTGGCCTCGAGCTGTTATTTGAATAGTCTCACTGAAAGTTAGAACTACCACACGACTTCAAGATTTGACTCTTGGAGCCAGGAAAGGGGTAATACCCGGCTATTAATGAGCAAACAGTTCCATTCGACGTTGTGTTGCCAGGATATTTTGATAATCATTTTTTGTGTGTATATTAATTTGATCCGGCCGCTGCCTCCATCAAGTTCGGCAACACATGGTTTCGCTCGTTTGATCCGACCGGAATTTTCACATGTCTGGCAGAGGTTTTGATTTTGTTTAGAATGGATTAGAAAGCCTCTATTTCAATGAATAAAATTTTGACCAATTTAAAGAATTAAATTAAACGCACACAACTGCGAGCAGTCTCTTATTTTTCTTTTAGTTTCTCGACTAAATCGGACTATGCCCGACGAGATGCTCATTGAAGCATGAGTTACTATTATGTTACATGCAAACAAAACAGATACAGTCGACTCCCGATAACTCGAACCTTCAAAGGAAATCGGAAAAAGTTCGAGTTATCGGGAGCTCGAAGAAAATAGCCGGGAGTAAGAAAAAAAAAAACAATTTTCACTGCACAGTGAACGTTTTAATCACTTTTAACTGCAGAAATGTTAAGTGAAAATTGAAAGATACTTCTAGGATATGATCAGAACGTAACGTAACAAAACATAGCCGAAATGGAGCATGCGTTTTACTGTTTTGAGAAGTAAAACTAACGGAGCTGTTTCGCGTTAGATTTGTGACAATCAGCCTCCACCAGTAAACTATACTCCTAGAACACGTCAGTGGGAAATTCAAAATTCGATGTTCCGGACGCCAGTAGACCGTTTTTTTCCGACTATTTAAGGGCTCAAAACATGCTTCGAGTTATCGAGGGCAAAATTATAAAGAAATGACCTGAGGCGAAACAAAAACTACTTCGAGTTAGCGGGAGATTCGAGTTACTGAGGGTAAAGAATTACAGTAAATGTATGACGAAGATCCAGGGGAAATCGATTTTGGTTCGAGTTAGCTTAAAATTATCTTTACGTATTTTTTCATTCAAACTGACCACTGGCCGAGTTACAATGGGTCAAAAGTTTCTGAAATGACAACAGAGCCTGCATGCCAAACAAATGGCCCAAAATGTTTAACATTTCAGTATACAAATTGATAGAGGGTGACCATGTAGACTGGTATTTTTTACAAAAACTCTCATGTAGCAAACTGACTCAAAGTCATGAAGTGACCGCAATTACTCAATTAGTGCACATAACTTGAGTGATTTACCCATCCTGCTCGTAGCTTTCGCCCCTTACATCATACTCACTACTCCTGAAACGAAATGTTAAACAGCACTATTTTAGAAGTGACCAGAACTTGACAGCTAAAAACTAGGGTAACTGTTTAGAGCAATTAGTGGATTTAACGCTATAGAAATAAAATTAAGACATAAAATAACGAAAATGTATGAACAAAGTTATTCAGATCACGGGGAAGACTACACGGTTCAAGTCAGCTTTAACTAGTTTCAACATTTAACATATAACCAATGATTGGTAGCTCGTTTCAGGAAAGTAGGGGATCAATACTGTCTGAAATTGATTAGACCGAAGACTAACCTGTAACACTGGGTCACAAGCTGGAAGACATGCCCGCCTCCGGATAGCCGTTGTTGAATCGAAGTTTGTCCGCCAAAGCGAGGAGAAGCGTTTATAGGAAGTCACAAGGTTCTTCACATAAACTACTATTGTAACAGTAAGATTGACCGCATCGCTGCACGCATTTCGCCGCTTTGTTGCACTGAACTGAAGAGCGAAGTAACGTAAAAATAATGTAACTTCTAAAATGACACCAGAGATAAACTGAATTACAAATTCAATGTGCACTCTTCCACATCGAGCTTGATTTTAATTCTATATACAGGCTGTGTGATTAGATAATTCTGTACTGAATGATGATCTGTTTTGCATATGCGGCTTCAGGGGCACTCAACCTGCTCAACGAGAACATAGTTCTGAAACCACATAAAGAATAAAACATAGCATTGTTGAACGTATTTCAGTATTTAAACGGTAGATATATAGGCATATTTTTATGTGAGTTATGCGAAAATTATAGGGATCAAAACTGACCTTTTCGAAAATTTCACCCAGAAAAAAGGCTCCCCAAAATTCTAGGTGACCTTTTTAGGGTAAAAAATGGGCAATTATACCATTTTTTAGATGTTCGAAAATCCTAGGAGAGGCAGGCAAGGAAGAAATTTCACAACAAATGTTCCGAAAATTCTAGATCTCAAATCGTCTTCCGAACAGATATTTTCCAAAAATTGTCGTTGGATGCCCCTGCGGCTTCATCTGTTCATTGCGTTAAAATTACTCGATAAACGCCCCAAGGATCCTTTTTGATAAAAACTGGCTTAGAGATATACGCTTATAGACCGATTTTTACTGTCTCCATTAAAACTCCCTGACTCAAATTTGAATGGGTTCTAATTCTCCTTTCTAACTGCTTGGCTGTACATTAAGACGGTGCACCCAAATTGAGTGACTGACCGTTTGTTTTCTATATACCTTTCTTCTTCATAGCAGCGATGAGCAAGTAGAAACGTTTGCCGTTCGCAGGATTTTCGTATGTTTATATTAAAACAATAATTCACCTCAGGCTCACTTAATATTGTTGAATAATCCACTCGACTTTGTCTCGGGGATTATTCAACAACATTTTAAGTTACAACTTTGTATTCGGCGAATAATTGTTAAATATATACAGCATGTACAAGATATTATTTTCTATCGAATCCCACACTGTTTTAATTCCAGGAATTATATTCAGATTATCCACATCTTCTTAACAGTCATATCGCTAATTACTCAGTTACCTAGCCAGCGATGAACTGATGGTCGATGTGTCTCTGCTCCCCTACCCTGGGTGTCAGGGGCTTTTCATGCGCGGCTTCCGGTTTCCCGCGAACACGTGTCGGCCGACGAAACGAAGCTCCCCGTCGCAGGTGAGAAAAAACTTCTGGTACCCCGGGAACTGCCCCCGCCCCCAGAAAAAAAAAATGTGGGATATCTGTCTCTGCTAGGTTCAAATCTAACCGTAATTCGTGGGTATTTAATCACATTTCTGAAAGAATCTTGTTTTCAGTAAATTTTATTGGATGAAAAACAATGAATGAGATATTTCCTTCAAAATGTGGTTGTTGTTTATTGTGATGTGTAAGATAGGTGAACCCCTTTTCATTTGTCTCACGATGGAGTCACTTTGGGATGTTAATCGCGACGTTTCGTCTGCTATTACTGCTAGTCTTCATCAGGCGATGAGGTCGTTTGCCTACGTGTCGCTTATTGCCCCCGCAGGCGGTGTGCGTCACGACTCACAAAGGTTCATGGCAGGAGCCGGCTCCTGTTCATGGTTAATACTGTTATGTGCCTCATTTCAATCGTGACACGGTCGAGTTCGCATCTGGTGAGAGAGATGCGAGCTGTAAAAATTATTACAGTCTGTTCATCGAGAAACTTGTTTCAGAACCCTCCGCAGTAAGGGCTTGGAAAAAAGGCTTTTCAGAACTTCCTGATTGGGGTGATTGTTTTGTGAATATAAACAAGTCCTCGAAAGATAATAAGCCGTAGACAGTTCACTTTTAGGGTTGTGCACAGAATAATCGCGACAAAGAAAGAACTACTGAAATATAAATTAGTCTCGGATGATAGATTTCCTTTCTGCCTTAATCCAGATTCAGTTGAAGACACCTTTTTATATTGTCAAGAGTCAAAGGAATTATTTTTCAAAACTTTAAGGTGGTTTAATGAATATCATAAAGAGAACGTACAACTTTCGAACAAGCAAATTTTATTTAACACGTTCGATGACTCCCTTCCAATGCAAATGCCAATTT